GCTGAAGGTCCCATCGCATTCCAATGCTAAAATGCAGCAGCTGCAAAATTTGATTGGACAATTGAACTGGCTGGGCCCACAGACAAGATCTCATGACCTGATGTCTCAAAACTGGACACGGTCAAACAAAACATTTAAACATAGACATATGGTGAATTCAAGGAAATAAAATTGATTATTTTGAGTGATTTCTCTCAACAAAACCTCTGGGTTTTCAAATACAGTGGGAGAAAGTGGGAAATGTTGTTTCTCAGCTTGGGAACTGGAAAAGTGAGAGAAGTGAAAAGTAATCTGCTGAAATTCTTGCACACACTGAGGTGGGTAATGTATAATTTCTAACAATATTTTTGGTACCAAGAATATGTTGAAGAAACCATAATTACTGAGTGTTAAATAGATAATTTCTCTGAGATAATGAGCACTCAATGAAGTGTTACAAAGACGAAGACATTAAAATTGATACTTTGAGGTTGAAACAAATGCTAGAAAAAGAAATCTCAACTCAAATCAGTAGATAGCTTACCCAGTGGTCGAGTGGTTAATATTTGGCACTCTTAACTGCTGCAGTCTGGGTTTGATTCTAGGTCAGGGAATGACTGTTTATCCCTCTAGGGCCAAATGTCCATAAAAAGCAGCTTATTTCTGCATACCAGAACTTCAAGACAGTTGGAGGCAGAGCAAAGTATTGTGGCTATCACTATGGAGAAGATGCTAGGGACGCTGCAAGGTCTGAAGGTGAACAGATCACTCAGACCGTATTGACTACAACTTGGGATTCTGAAGGAGATAGCTGAGGAGATTGTGGAGGCATTGTTGGTGATCTTTCAGGAATCACTGGAGTCAGGGAGGGTCCCAGAGGAAACTGGCTAATGTAACATTCTCTTTAAGAAGGGAGGGAGATAGAAGATGGTAAATTATTGGCCAGATACCCTGACCTCTGTTGTTGGTAAGATATTTTAAGAGTCCAATTAAGGACTAGATTGTGGAGTACTTGGAAATGCATGGGAAAATAGGGCTGAGTCAACACGGCTTCATGAGGGGAGGTCACGTCTAATAAATCTGTTAGAATTTTTTTGAGGAGGTAATGAACAAGTTAGACAAAGGAAAGCCAGTGGTCCCAATTTATTTGGATTTCCAGAAGCTTTTTGACAAGGTGCCACACAGGAGGCTGCTAAGTAAGATAAGAGCCGTTGGTGTTAGGGGCAAGTTACTAGCATGGATAGAGGATTGGCTGACTGGCAGAAGGCAGAATGTGGAGGTAAAGGGATCTTTTTCAGAATGTTAGCCGGTGATGAGTGGAATTTCACAGGGGTCAGTTTTGGGGCCACAACTATTCATGTTAAACATTAACTAACTGGACAAAGGAACTGAGGGCATTGCTGCTAAATTTGCACATGACACAAAGATATGAGGAGGGACAGGTTGTGTTGAGAAGGCAGAAAGGCTGCAGAAGGACTTGGACAGGATAGGAGTTTGAGCAGATAGAATAAAATGTGGAAAATTTAGGTTGTGCACTTTGTTAGGAAAAATAGAAGTAAGGACTATTTTCTAAATGGGGAAAGGCTTCAGAAATCTGAAGCACAAAGGAGTTTAGGACTCCAAGTTCAGGATTTTCTTAGTGTTAACATACAGATTCAGTTAGCAGTTAGGAAGGCAAATACAATGCTAGCATTCACTTTTAGGTGGCTAGAATACAACTGCAAGAACGTGCTGCTGAGGCTGTAAAAAGCTCTGGTCAGACCACATTTGGAATATTATGAGCAGTTTTGGGCCTCATATCTAAGTAAGGATGCGCTGGCCTTGGAGGGACATCCAGAGGAGGTTTACCAGGAAGATCCTGGGAATTAACAGCTTATCAAATGAGAAGAGGTTGGGCTTCTGGTCTGTACTGTAAGTTTGGAAGAATGAAGGGGACCTCATTGAAACCTACAAAATATTGACAGGCCTAGATAGAATGGACATGGAGAAGACATTTTGACGAGTAGGAGAGACTAGGACCCGAGGGCACAGCCTCCGAGTGAAGGGATGACCCTTTAGAACTGAGATGACAAGGAATTTCTTCAGCCAAAGGTGGTGAGTCTGTGGCCCTCATTTTGACAGGAGGGGTGTGGAGGCCAAGTCCCTGAGTGTTTTTAAGACAGATATACATAGATTCTTGATTAGTAAGGAGATCAGAGGTTACAAGGAGAAGCAGGAGAATGAGGTTGAGAAACCTATCAGCCATGATTGAATGACACAGCAGATTTGAAGGGCTTAATGGCCTATTTCTGGTCCTTTATCTTATGGTCTTACGATGCAAACCATCAACTTGTCTGATTTTGTGTTACCAAAATGAAAACTTCCAGTGAGTTGGGGATCCTAGGAGCTGCATGATTTCTCTCTCTTCAGTAATTTCTTTTTATCTTGTCTGAAAGTGTGTACTTGTCAATTTTATGCTTTTTAAGGAAGAAGGGGGTAAGATACTGTTGACAATAATATCAATTGAGTATATATATTTGCTCTATAGTCCATTTGTGAGGGCAGCTGATACTAACCGGGGATAGATTAGGACATCGTGGTGCTGCAGTAGTGTCCCCACCTCTAAGCTAGAAGGTCCATGTTCAAGTCCTGCCTGCCCTGGAGGTGCAAGTAACATACCCAAGCAGGTTAATCTTAAAGAATAAGGACTAGTTTCCAGCTGGGAGAGGCTGTTCAGTGCAAGAGAAAGGTAGTTTGTACTTAGCTCTACGGAGTATAATGAACCTATGCGGAAGTCAGACAGGCTCCCACTTATTCTATTGCCAGAGGCATATTTACCAGAATAATACCTTGCACACCACCTCCCCAAGGAACTGCATTTTCTCTTTCCCACCTCCATCATTAATTCCCCTACTGGTGTAACCATCACCCTAAAATTGTATCTCTACCCTAGTGTTTCATTGTCTGTTATGAATTACTGTGATATTATTCAGTGCATCTTCCCTTTTTAAGAGCTACATCCTACTTTGAAGAGCAAAGTTTGGCTGCATCCATTACCAAAATACTTTTCAATTCCCTGCTGAGTGTAGAGGTACTTGGCAGCATAAAGAGGAGTGAGGCACACGTTCAGCTTTGCAGTATAATCATGTAAAGAGCTGGGGACAACAAATCTACATGTTCATCTCCAATGGAACCATCATGGTCTGATTGTAAATCCCAAATCCCCCAGACCCAAAAACTAGGCTAAGACAATTCTTAGCACGGCACCTTTGCAAATTAGAGTCATACAGCATGGAAGCGGGCCCTTCAGGCCAACTCATCTGTGCCAACCATCTTTCCTAAACTGAACTAGCCCCATTTGCTTGCGTTTGGCCTGTATCCCTCTAAAGTTTTCATATCCATGTACCTATCCAAATGTCTTTTAAATGCTGTAACTTTTCCCACCTCTATCTTTTTGTCTGGCAGTTTGTTCCAATACGCACTACCCTCTGTGAAAAAGTTGCTTTTAAGTCCCTTTTAAAATCCTTTCCCTCTCATCCTAACCTGTGCCCTTCAGGTTTAGATTCTCCTACCTGGGAATAAGACCTTGGCTACTGACCTTATCTATGCCCCTCATGATTTTATAAAACTCTAAGGGTCCCCCCTGTTTTCTGGGGAAAAATGTCCCTGCCTATCCAGCCTTTCCTTATAACTCAAACCTTGCAATCTTGGTGACATCTTTGTAAATCTTTTTTCCACGCTTTTCATTTTAATAATGTCATTATCATAGCAGGGCGACAAGACTTTTACGGAGTACTCCAAATGTGGCCTTACCAATGTCTTGCACAGCTGTAACATGATGTCCCAACTCCTGTCCCCTGACCGATGAAAGCAAGTGTGCCAAATGCCTTTTTTCACCACCCTACCTATCTGCGATGCCACTGTCCAGGAACTATGTACCTGCACCCCTAGGTCCCTCAGTTTGACAACACTTTCTAGCGCCCTACCTTTAATTATGTAAATCCTGCCCTCATTTGTCTTACCAAAATGCATGTATCTGCATTAAACTCCATCTGCCATTTCTCGGCCAGGTAGCTCAGTTGATCAAAAATCCCATTGTACTTTTAGCCTTCTTTGCTGTCCACTATAACCACAATTTTGGTGTCACCTGCAAACTTACTAACCATGCCTCATCAACCATATTCTCATTCAAATCGTCTATACAAATAATGAACAACAGTGGACCCAATACTGATCCTTGTGACACACTGCTGGTCACAGGCCTCCAGTCCGAAAAACTACCCTCTACCACCACCCTCTATCTCCTACTATCCTGTAATTTTGTATCCAATTGATTAGCTCTCCTGCATCTCATATGATCTAGCCTTACTAACCAGTCTACCATGCGGTACGTTGTTGAAGGTCTTGCTAAAGTCCATGTAGACAATGTTTGCTGCACAGCCTTCATCTATCTTCATGGTGACCTCTTTTAAAAAAAAAAAACTCAAATCAAATTGTGAGACATGATTTCCAATGTACAAAGCCATGCTGATTATCCCTAATTGGCCCTTGGCTTTCCAAATGCACGTAGATCCTGTCTCTCAGAATCCCCTCCAACAACCTACTCATTAGGCTTACCGGTCTGTAGTTCCCTGGCTTTTCCTTGCAGCATCTCTTCAACAATTGCACAACATTAGCCATCCTTCGTTCTTCTGGCATCTCACTTGTGGCTATCGATGATATCTCTACTACGGACTCCACAGTTTGTTCCCTAGCTTCTCAATGTCCTGGGGATTTGTGTACTTTTGGTTTAAGGTTACTATGCCTTATGAAAGGCTTAAGCAGTAACAGGCTAGTATTATCCTGCATGACAATGTTAAGCAAGTTTTAGCATGTATTTAACCCCTGCTACAAACAAACTCATTCCCATCAGACATCAAGTGTGAACTTAAGTCACCAACATACACAAGAGAAATAATGAATGCAAAGATGAATGTTAGCCTGTATAACATTTTTATAACACGATAACAAACAGAAATAGTCAACAGTAATAGTAAACTTACCGCCCCTACTAAACTACTGGCACTGCCATGAAACTCTGTTCCTGCTTCCCTGAAAGGATAGGGTACATTCAGAGAGATTGGCCTGGCTTTTTTGTTATTTCCACTTGAGTTGTCAGAGTTCCAGGAACCACAGGTTACTGATGGAAGGCTGCTGTTTAGTTTCTCGTAGGATTCAATGCCATCAAGAAATAATGTTGGAATACGATGTTGTAACCTCCTTCTACTACGTGGAGTTGTTGGAGGTGTGTCGCATACTCTGGAAAATTGTGTTGGAGAATGGCTTCTCCTCAGCAGTGGATTTAGTCCTGCAACAGCCAATGCCTGTATGATGAAAATAAATACTGAGACACATACAGATACAACAGGACTTTTTTTTTCTTTGGAAAAGCATCTTCACCACAATGTGAACCAATTAGCTTTCCAAAGTGCTATTCACATCAAATGTCCTTTACTTTTACAACAATAAAATTTTATATCGGACAAATGTCACCATGTCACTCTTTGTTGTGCAGATTTGAAATAGGGTATGGATCAGAGCTCAGACCAATATGATGGAAATTTTTCTTTAAGTGGGAAGGAGTGTATTAGGAAGCTAATTTTGTTCAGAAAGCCTCCTGGCTTTCATTAGTGCTGAATGAGCTTTATCAAGTATACTGGAAGAACCATATTTCCTTTCATCTCTTCCCTGTACCATGCTGCCTTAGTAAATCATAGGCTTGAATTTTTGCTGAACTGGACGGCTTGACCCTTTGGGCAAATGCTGCCAGGATCCTGATTCTGGAAGTCTCACCTCACCACTATCACAAGGGGTGTGGTGAAATTGGAGAGGAACTATTTCAAACAACTACAGCTCATTGAGGCAACAGCACATTTTAAATGTGTGACTGCCTTGACCCAGTAGCAATGTTCATCACTGAGGTTTCTAAAACTGAGACTTGTGGGCTTTAGACAGTTGGAGAAAATTCCAGATACATAACTTGGCAGCTTCAAAAGATTGTAAAAGGACGACCTGTCCTTGTGGGGCTATGACAATTTAGTGCATACAAACATATGAAGAAGCAACAAGAGTAGGCTACTTAGCCCTTCAAGCCTCTTCCGTCCTTCAATAAGATCATGATTCATCTGATTTTAACCTAACTGTATATTTCTGAATACCCCAGAATTTTTGATCCCATCTAGTAATCAAGAATCTATGTACCTCTGCCTTAAAGTATTAGAAGATTCTGAGGTCATTGCCAGTTGAGGAAGGGAATTCCAAAGACACTCAACCCTCTTAGATAATTTTATTTTTCTCATCTCTGCCTTAAATGAGTGACCCCTTATTTTTAAACTGTAACTTCCAGTTCTAGATTCTCCCATAAGAGGAAACACTTTTTCCACATCCACCCAGTCAAGTCTCCTCAGGATCTATATGTTTCAATTAAGTCATTTCCATTCTTCTAAACTTCAGAGGATACAGGACTGGCCTCTCTAGCATCTCCTCATAAGGTAATCCACTCATTCCAGGTATTAGTCCAGTAAACCATCTCTGAACTGCTTCCAATGCATTAATATACTTCTGTAAGTACAGTAACCAATATTGTATACAGTATTCCAAATGTGCTCTAACTCATGCCCTGTATAACTGAAACGTAACCTCCCTACTCTTGCATTCAATTCCCCTCACAATAAAACATAACATTCTATTAACTTTCCTGATTGCTCGTTGAACTTGTATACAAACCTTCCGTGATTCATACTCTAGGACATCCAGATCTCTCTATCTGAGACTTGCAAATTTTCACAATTTAGATAATATGCACGTTTGTTCTTTCTGCCAAAATTAATGATTTCACGTTTTCCCACATATTACTCCATTTGTCAGATCTTTGCCCAATCTTTTGCAGAGTAAAGACTATAAATAGATGGGACTTTATTTCATCTCAGTAAGGCTCCCGATAACCCATGGTGGATACTGGGTTGGTTGATGTGGTGGATGTACGCTCATGGGCACATAGGTTGGTATGTATTGGCACCAAGTTTGCATGGGGTTTATTTTAAAAAAGTTATGGGGCTGATTGAGGTGGGGGGGGGGGGGGGGGGGGGGGGGGGGGGAGGGTGGTTTGGGTGGTGCTCAAGCATGCTGATGAGTTGATTCTAAGTTGGCCTAGAGGAAATCAGGGTCATGGTAGATGGAAAGAGAGGCATAAGTTGGCATGGTAGAAGGGTGAAGAAGGTGGCATGATTAGGGTATGGCATTGTGGTATGAACAGGGGCTTTTTGTTTTATTATTATTACAATGCAGGATGTTTAAACAGTTGGCCTCAGCACCTGGCATTCGTTGTGATTGCCTCACATTGTTACTGAAGGTGTACACATGCATGTCCACCCACCCACTCTGATTATTCAGGAATTTTATCCCAGGTTAGAAATTTCCTGACTCTGTATAGCTGATTTTTGGGAGCAAACATTTGTCTTTTAAGCATTATTATATTTGAAGTCAAATCTCTGAATTGAGGCTTTTTATTCCTTTCATTTTTTCCAAATTCTTCCTGTAAATATAGTTGAAGGAGTCGTATAGGAAGAAGGGGTTTTGATTCGTAAGGCACTGGCATTTTCCTGGGGAAAAGTGAAAGTTGCAGTTTTGGAAAGGGCTCCAGTCAAACAGTACTTGGATCAGTGTGTGAGTAAATCCTATAACTAGTGCTATGGATAGGGCTTTAAACTAAAAGGTATGGTTTGGAGCAAACAGGTTAGGTGAAGGGAGGTTTTGAAATCCTAAAAAAAAAAGTGAAGGCAATAAAGAAGTGTGGTGGTTTGAATAAAGACTAGCAGAGGTTCAGGAAAGTACAGGGTTTATTCAGTAAGACTGAATCAGCAAATAGGTTCATTGCAAGACAAGTTAAATTCGATTCTCTTTAATTGAAAGGTGAAATGTACTAAGCATTTGTGATAAGATAGACCAATTTGCGGTACAAATAAAGGTAAATGTAAAGGTGATGAGAAATCAAACAAAGACATGGGATCTATTTTACTTCTAGGGTCAGGAAATGGATTTTTTTTAATTCACGTGTGGGATATTGATGTCATTGGCTGGCCAGCATTTATTACCTGTATCTAGTTGCCCTTGAGAAGGTGGTGGTGAGCTGCCTTCTTGAACTGCTACAGCCCATCTACTGCAGGTAGACCCACAATCCTTTAGGGAGGGAATTCCAGGATTTTGACCCAGTGACAGAGAATGAATGGTGATTATATTTACAAATCAGGACGGTGAGTGGCTTGGAGGGGAACCTGTAAGCAGTGGTGTTCCTATGTATTTGCTGCCTTTGTCCTTCTAGATGGAAGTGATTATGAGTTTGGAAGGTGCTGTCTAAGGATCAGAATTTCTGCAGTGCCTCTTGCAAATAGGATACACTGCTGCTACTGAGTATTGGTCATGAAGGGAGTGGGTGCTTGTGGGTGTGGTACCAGTCAAGTGGACTGCTTTGTCCTGGATGGTGTCAATCTTCTTCAGTGTTATTGCTGCTGCACTTATCAAGACAACTGGGCAGCACTCCATCACACTACTAACTTGTGCCTTGTACATGGTGGACAGCTTTGGGAGTCAGGAAGTGAGTTACTTGCTGCAGTATTCCTAGCCTCTGACCTGCTCTTGTAGCCAATGTACTTGTATGATGAGTCCAGCTGAGTTTCAAGTTGACGGTTGTTGATAGTGGGGGATTCCGTGATGGTAACACCATTGAATGTCAAGGGTGGTAGTTATTGGAAACGGTCATTGCCTGGCATTTATGTGGTGCAAATGTTACTTGCTACTTATCAGCCCAAGTCTGGATATTGTCCAGATCTAGCTGTATTTGATCATGGACTGCTTCAGTATCTGAGGAATTGCAAATGGTGTTGAGCATTATGCAGTCATCAATGAACTTCCCCATTTCTTGCTTTGTAATGGAAGGAAGATCATTGATGATGCAGCCGAAGATGGTTGGGCCTGGGACGCTACCCTGAGGAACTCCTGCTACGACATCCTGGAGCTGAGATGATTGACCTCCAACAACTATAGCCACCTTTCTATGTGCCAGGTATGATTCCAACTAGTGGAGAGTTTGCCCCCTGATTCCCAGTGCCACACTTGGTCGAATGTGGCCTTGACGTTAAAGTTTGTCACTCTCATCTTACCTCTGGAATTCAGGTATTTTGTCTATGTTTGAACCAAGACTGTAATGAGGTCAGGAGCTGAGTGGCCCTAGCGGAACCCAAACTGGACATCACTGAGCAGGTTATTGTTGAGCAGGTGCTGCTTGATAGCACTGTTGATGACACCTTGCTCACTTTACTGATGATCAAGAGTACACTGCTGGGGCAGTAATTGGTCAGGTTGGATTTGTCCTGCTTTTTGTGTACATGGCATATCTGGGCAATTTTCCACATTGTCACTTCCATAGAGTAGCTGTACTTGTCCAGTTGGGCTAGGGAAGCAGCAAATTGTGGAGCATAAGTCTTCAATACTATTTCTGGGATGTTGTCAGAGCCTATATCCTTTGCAGTATCCAGTGCCTCCAGCCATTTCTTGATATCATGTGGAGCGAATTGAATTGGTTGAGGACTGGCACCTGTGATGCTGGGTACCACCAGAGGAGGTTGAGATGGATCATCCATTCAGTGCTTCTGGCTGCAAATGCTTTAGCCCTACCCTTTGCATTGCTGTGCTGGGCTCCTCCATCATTGAGAATATTTGTGGAGCCGCCTCCTCCACTGAGTTGTCTACCACCATTCATAACTAGATCTGATCCGTTAGTTGTGGAATTGCTTAGTTCTGTATATCACCTGCTGCTTATGATGTTTGGCATAACTTCAACCTAAGTTGACACCTCATTTTTTGATATGCCTGCTGCTACTTCTCGCATACCCTCCTGTACTCTCCATTAAAACCCCAGGCACAATGGTAATTGTTGAGTGGGGGATATGCTGGTCTATGAGATTGCAGATTGTGTTGGAGTATAGTACTGCTGCTGTTGATGGCCCACAGCGCCTAATGGACACCCAGTCTTAAGTTGCTAGATCTGCTCAATGTCTGTCCCATTTAGCACAATGTTAGTGCCACACAACACGATGGAGGGTATTCTCATTATGAAGGTGGAACTTCATCTCCACAAGGACTGCGCAGTGGTCACTCTTACTGATTACTGTCTGGACAGATGCATCTGCAGCTGGCACTTTGGTGAGGATGAGGTCAAGTATGTTTTTCCCTCTTGTTGGTTCCATCACCACCTGCTGCAGATCCAGTCAAGCAGTTATGTTCTTTAGAACCTGACCAGCTCAATCAGCAGTGCTGTTACCAAGCC